GCACTGGATATTGCTGAAGTCTTAAGTAATTTTGCCCAATAAAGTTAATGAAGTATGTGCTACTAGCTGGAGTATATCAATCTCTCCCCTTTCAACACAACATACACAAATTCATTACCATAAAAATTCACTAAACTCAATTATTGCACATTTTCTCCTATAGTCCTCCTTACTAGGCTGATCTCTGGAGGTGGCATGGCCACTCATAAAGCAAATTGTGACTCTGAGATTATCACATGCTTCACAGAAACATGTGCTCTGTGTCCTTGAAAGCAAAGGATAATTTGTTATCAAAGTGCAGGAAAACTATGAAGAGAGTAAAATAATGAAGAAATGACAAGCTCATTGGGAAAATAATCTAAATGGAGAGCAGCTCCATTAAAGCCAGTAGTTAACTTTGCACAGGTTTAATGCTGTTACAAATGGCAACAGCAATTATATGCCTCATATTTTTAGATTAAGGGAGTTGTTTGAGCTAAAGAACCTTTAAAGAAACTTCCTGCAGCCTTTGCTGAGTCTGCCTGAAAGCACAGAAGAGATTCCCAGAGGATAGATAGGGGAAAGGCAGAAAAAAATTATGAATTTGGGGATTCCTTAAAACTTCAGCCTGGAGTAGCCACAGGCCACATTGTTTTTACTGAAATGGGAGCTGGACACATACCCAGGACCACCCCAGGCCTCTGGGACCAGCTCTCTACAATTTTTACAGTTATATAATAAATATATAACTGAAATCCTGATGCCCAGAAACACCCTGTGTCTGGAAATCTTGCTATCTATGAGCAGTAGAAGAAAAATGAGGTTCCCCCTCCTTGAGAATCTTCCCCACATCGAACTGCAGCCTTGAGGTGCATCACTGGTGGAGCATTAACCTTCTCTTTGTCCACAGCCTTTCCACAGCCCTTTGCCAGCCCTTCTGCAGCCTCCTTGCAAAGAAAAGCACACAAATAACATACTCTTGCATCTGACCACCATAAAGAAGCTGTTTTATGGCAGAAGCAGGGCTTGTGGTCCTGTGAGGAGTGTCTGGCTTGACTGCCAAAAGCCCTGCCCATGCTGGGCAAGAGGATCTGGGCACAGGTTCCCCTTCCTGCAGGGCCCTCCAACAGAAACATGTTAATTACTGTACTTAAAAGTTAGCAAAACCTTCCACAGCTGGAAAAGTGGGATAGCAGAGGCCTGACCTGTTCATTAATTTGTCATATGTGCTTCACCTTCATTTGTTCTTGACGATGTTTTGCATAAGCACACGCAGGTTTCCGAGCTGAAAACATGCTGGAAAATGTTGGGTTTACTCTATGCAAGTGAAATACCAAATCAGGTTCACCAGCTTCAGGGCTTCACATCCTCTCAGAGCTCAAACACCCACTCATTTATTATTCTATTTTGAAAATCTTGCAAGGTACTCAGACTTCCTCCCTCTGGGGGAAACCAGCATATGGCAAAAGCAGGATTAGAGCAGTAAACATATTCAAGTGAAGTCCTGTTCCACTGGTTTAATTGCTCTGAGGTGAAGACATGATTTACTGAGGGATCTGTTTGCTGGAGGATATGTTCAAACAAATCAGTAAGTTACTATGGCTAATTTTAAGTGCAAGTTCCAGAGGTACCATTCAGCTTCTTTCCAGACAGAGGTAAGAGAGTATGGAACACACTGCACAGGTCTGTGTGAGTTCTAATGAGACACTTGTTTACTACCACAGCTCAGAGAAGCAATACAGCATTCATTAATTATTTTAGCAATAGGTCCTATGCTGGATGCATGCCATTGAACACTTTTTTTTCAAATTATCCTTTGAGTCTTGCAGCCTGCAGAAATCACTGCAGATGAAAATTCTCTTAGTTTCTTCTGGACTTTTTTGCCAGCTGCTGGGTAATCTTTCTACTCTTGTGTATGTCACAGCATCTAGTTACCAGACCTACCACTCAGATCATTGGAATTCACCTGATTGACAAGGAACAATAACTGACAGTGCCATGTCTTTCTTTAATCATGTCTAGGGATGGTGACTCCACCACCTCCCTGGGCAGATGATTCCAGCCCAATCATTCCTTCAGTGAAGAATGTTTTCCTGACATCTAACCAAAACTGCCCCTGGCAGACCTTAGGACCATGTCTTCTTGATCTGTCAGTGGTTGTGTGGGAGAAGAGACCAACCCCACCTGACTACAACCACTTTTCAGGGAGTTGCAGAGAGTGATAAGGGGTCTTATTCTGATATTTTGGAGATTTCATGACAATAAATTGGAAAGCCAGCCAGAAGATCAGCCTAGAGCTTCAATGAATCTGCAGTCAACAGATCTCCAGCTGGCACTGAAGAATTCTCAGGGAGAACCTCAGCTTCTGGCCAGCAGGGACTCGAGGCCAGATCCCTGGGCTAAGTAAAGGCATCATTTAAATTATTTATCTTAGGATCATTGACAAAGGATACGAATCCTCACACAGAGTTACTGGTAAGGGGGTGTTGAGTCACTGCAAATAGGGTTTGAGTCCCTGTCTAAGCTTATCATGGGGAGATTTGAGTTGCTGACCTCAGGGGATCAGAGTTTCCCTGTCAAAATTTCAAGTCCCCAAGAAGTATTAGGGGTTCCAAGTCCCCTAGAAAGTATTAGAGGTTGTCCTCAGGAGGTATCAGGACTCGTTGTATCAAGCTAAGCTTGCAGTTTAAAGAAAAATCATTGTTCCACTGTCTTGTAGCACATGCTGCCACCACCTTGACTTGGGTGGAGGAATGAAGAAAAGTAAGTCTCCATTTCCAACTGAAGCCTGGCCCTGGTTGCATTTTTCTTGAACTCTGACAATGTGTTCATGTGAGAGTCGTGTGTTGATTTGAGTTTGCCAGCATCTCAGCATGGGGATGCCCATGATATAAAAATTCATTTGCTGAGAGAGAGTTGGAGCTTGATTGAGTGTTAGCTGGAGTTCTGGAATTGCTTTAGTTTTGTGTCTGTGGCTGAGATCGCATTTGTTGACTCGAGGCACCCTCTTGTGTCAGTTTTAGTGATTGTGGCTTGGCAGTCTCCTTTCCCTTCCCCACTCCTCCCTTCATTACAAACTCAGAAATACAGTTATGACTTTCAGAAGTAATAGCTTGGATATTTGTAATTATTGAACATGGGGCCGGTTTCTCCTATAACTTAAGTGAGAGATGATATTCCAAATTCTCCACTGAAATGTATATTGAAAAACTGGTAACAGATAGGAGGAGACCCACCAAGTAATTCTAGACTAATCCAGTTGTATAATAAGTGGTGGCCAGTATACCAGCTAAACTACCAGGCTAAGTGGCCAGAGAATGGTACATAAGTTTAGGGAGGGAGAGAGGAAAATGGAATGAATTGCCCTATGTGGATTTATTATTTTATTTGGAAAACCATCTGAAACTGCAGGAGTGGCCAGTGTTGGGGTGAACCTGGGGTAAACAAAGTTTCTCATGGCCTGGTAGTGGTAAAGGTACCTTTCTCTCCAGTTGATCTTGAAGCACGGGTAAAATGCCTCACCTCTTCTCTATAGAAAATCTGGAGAGATAAGTATTTGAAACCATTCTCCAGATCTAGGTTCTGCTAGATAATCTCGTAGATTCTACAGGAAAAGAGAACTGTGGACTGCTTCACTGGTTTAGACTTAACTAGGTAAGTTGTATCCAAACTTTTCACACGCTTTGTTATATTGTTAATTCCTTTCTTAACTACACCTTTAAGCCAAACTTTCCCACATTAAAATAATAACATAATGTTGCCACCCTTTCCCTTTCTCACCCTGCTTTCCCCTCATTGTTCTGATTTAATAAAAGGGGGAGTAGGGGGGAGATCAATTCACCAAGTCATCAAGAGTGAAAGGTTTTGGATTCTAAAAGCTTTTTGTTAATTACTTCTTAAGTTTATATATTCCTTTTGAGCCTGCCTCTTGCTGCCTCCAGAGACATCATGGGAAAGATCTGGATGCTGCTGTTCCTGCCAAGTATCGCAGGGTGGACTGTGGCACAACCCCATGAAAACATCTGGGTTACCCTCACAAAAACTCTTAATCAATTTGTGCATTACCATGGGTGACCTTGGCAACCCCTTGTCATCATTCCTGGTAGGAATTCCACTGACAGAAAGGCACTATCCCTATGCTGGTAAGGAACCCAATCCCATGGATGCCTGGGATGAGTGGATGAGGTTGCTACTGCATGCACCAGAGGAGCCCCAAGAATTGGATCTGTTTGGGTGCTCCAGGGCCAAATTCTGTACTCTGTTTCAATACAGGTGACCACACCAGCCTGTCCCACTCTATGACCACATTCATTCCCTTCACAGGAACAATGTGGACCCAGTTTGGAAAATACATTTGGATGACTGGTGCAATTCCACCAGTGGAACACTGTCCTCATCCACATCTCACCCCTGGGTACTCCCCTGAGGAGTGTTTCTTGTTTGTGGGGATAGGGCTTGGGCAGGAGTCCCCTCTCACCTCCAAGGGGGTCCTGTAGCCTTGGACAGCTTACTACCCTCACCCCAAGCATCACATTGTTGCAAGATTGGAAAGAGAAAGCTCATTTGGCTCACCAAAAAAGATCATATGAGCAATTTGATGAAAATTGTGACAATTTACAATTGGAATAAAGGAAAGAGGATGGTGGTATCCGTATTTTTACCATGGGTAGCTGCAGCAAAGGCCCTCAGTGAGATTTCTCGCCTGGGGTGCTGGCTCAGTAAGAAGGCCAACACAACATCCACAAACCTCAGTGCCCTCCTGGAGGATGAAGAGACCACCAGGCACACAACCCTCCAAAATAGGCTGCAATTGACATTTTACTGCTTGCCCATGGCCATGGATGTGAGGAATTTGAGGGGATGTTTGTGCTGTTTTAACCTCACATCAGAAGCCAAGCCATCAACCACAGCATCCAAAATCTCCAGGAACAAGTGAAGGATATCAAAGTGGAAGCTGGAACACAGTCAGAGGAGGACAGTGGGACTGACTGGTTCTGGGAACTGTTCAGCATTGGAATAAGTTGAAACAAGTTGCCTGGAAACTTACCAGGTATATTTATTTAAAACAAACAAATTTTAAAATACATATATTCTATTAGTATTTTGTAGCTCCCATATAAAATTACAAATTAAAAAAAAAAACTTTGATTTTGTCAGCATCCTTGTAGCTGCAGGTTACAACACCTGGGGAAAGACCAGTAGAGAGAATTTTTTTAGTATTTTCCAAACACCGAGCCATCACAAAATTCTATGCAAACTTAACATGCAGCAGCCAGAGCTGCTTCCAGTCTGAACAAGTTCAGCCTCCCCTCATTAACACAGTTTTTGTCAGTCTGCTGGATTACTGTCAAGGTTACAAGTTTTTCCAGTTTCCCAAGACATTTAAGTGCACAATAAAATCACATCTGCACACAAACTATGCTTCAAACTTCAGTAATTCACGTGATGGGAATTTGAAATGATGCAGATTTGGGTGGGCTCACAATACTTCAGAACAGGAACAAGCTAAGTCCCTGCCAGCCTGCAACTGTTTATCAGCATTGCTGAGTTTGATTTAAATATAATCAGTCCTGCTGACAGTGGTTTTTAGTTGAACTATCAACTTGCTGCATTATCAGAGAAGCTGAGAGTGACAAGGCCAATCCTACTCCAGCCCATGAGTGACCCAGGCAAGACAGATTGCAGAGGGCTAAGAAATTCTTCCTGCCATCTGGAAAGAAGTGGAGGCAGCAAAACTGAAATTCTGAGGCTCCACAGTATTCAATATTGTGAATAGTTCTAGTGCTATTTTCACCTCAGTTACTGGTTCATTTTCTCCTGTATCTTCTTTCAGAACGATGGATAATGTTTCAGCCTAAAGAAAAAAAATTAAGAGATTTAAAAGTTCTCAGTAATTTGTTGAGGGTATAACATGAAGAAACAACAGCTCTTCAGCAGTGTCACTGAGTATCCTTAGCTAATCTGATGGAGTAGAAGAGCAAACATCTACCTGCTAGAATTACTTAAGTGCCATTATAATATGAAGTTCAAGTTCAACTAAAGGACAAATCACAAGATTTATTCATATTTAGGAATATTTCTATGAATTTTTCCTTTCCATTTTGGTAAATCATTAAAGTCACATCTTAAAATTAAGCAGTTTTACAAGCACCATGAAGTTGTGAGTTGAAAAAAAATAAATATCCCTGCTTAGAGTTAGCACTGCTCCTCACCCCACCCCTGACCATACCAGCAGGGGAAGAAAATAAAGAAGTATGGAAACAGAAGGTTTTGCATAATCAGACAAACAACAAGGGCTGTGCTCCAGCAGGGAAAGCCAATTCCACACTCCAGTAAGTCATCAGGTGAAATTCAGACCAGCAATCACCTTATCAGGTAGAGTCATCTGCCCCATCTTACAGAACATAAACATGTTACCTGGGATTAATGGAGCTAACTTAGTACCTACCTAAATAACAAAGCTTTGCCTTTGTTATTAGCTACTGAGAAATATCCACTTCTGGGAGAGAAGTCCATAGACTGAGTAAGATAAATCTGTTTTCTTCTGAACACTGGGAAGTTTGAGAATACAGTATATGAAGGAAGGTGTACCTATATTGAGAAATGGGTCAGAATTTAAAGTTGGGAAAAACACTAAAAATAAAATTAAACTACAAATCTATAATTGAAGCTCAGTGTTAAGTTCAAACACCTTCCACTAGACCAGGTTGCTCCAAGCCCTGTCCAACATGGCCTCAAACACTTCCAGACATTTTAGAGGGCATTTTAAAAAGGTAAAAAGGTAAACTAAACTACAAAATGTTATTTTCAGAGCAACTTTACTAAAGAAAATAAAATTATATTCTTGTAAATGCATAGTGTCTTAGCCATGTCCTGATCTGGTTGGTCCAGCACCTTTTGCAGTATCTGTATCTGCTTCATATCAGTTTTATTATGTCACCAGCAGTATTTTTAGCAAGATATAAAAGAAATATTGCAATAAAGAAGCTGAACATACCAATTTGACAGCCTCATCAGTGTCACGGGAGGCTACTGCCAGAATCTCTGTGGTGGGATTAAAAGTCACACAGGTGGCAGAAGTAACAAGGTTCATTATGGCTTTAACTGGTTTAGGACGGTTTTCTTTGAGGCAGACATCAGTAGTGTATAAATTTACAACTCCAGAAGATGAACTAAAGAACAAAATGAACAAAGATTATACCGAAAACATCTCAGTACATATTGCCTTGTTATCTATAGCCACTACTTACCTGAAAATGTAATTTCCAATTATTTACTGCAGTTTGTAATAATATTTTGTTTGCAGATTTATTTTCCTTTGGAGTTTATAACAGTATTTAGTGGAAGGGTTTAGATGGATTTTCTTTTTACTTATATAATAAGAGACTCAACTGTGGAGAGCCTTGATGACCCCATCTCTTACTAGGATGAATTCAAAGCAAGGAGAACTTGATACCAAAACATTCTGAAATAACTTCAAATTTTTTATTGTGGGCTTTTTTTTAAGTGCAGCATAAGCTCACTTTAAAATCCTCTTCAACAGTGAGCTAAGAAAATATATATTGTACTCCTGTATTTATTTGCTGTTCTCACTTAAAAGAACACTGGCTGAAACTGCATCTCAATGAATCTGGAGAAATAGTTTCAGCTTGTGGCTTTGAGTTGAGGCCCCTTTTAAAAGGTTAGCATGCTGCCTTGCAGGAGCCAAATTCAGAGTACAGGGAAGAGAACTAGAAAAGAGAGAAGATCCTGAATCAACATTCCTGTTACACAATTTGTGATTTTAGTCAGTGTGATTTCAAAATTAACTGCTGAACCCATACATGGCAATAGTAATACCAGTATCACTCCTATTGTTTTAGTACTATGGTATTTTATATTTACACAGGAAAAACTAAATTATTATCATAAAGTAGGGAATATTCATCTATTCATGTCTACTCTAAGCTTATTAGAACCAAACCATGTTCCTACACTCTCACCAGCCACCAGTAAGTTCATTGAAGAGCTTCAAATTGAGAGCAGAAGAAGCTGTCAAAGTTCAGTCACTTACCCACATGCCACATACTGGTTATTTTTTGAAACAGCAATGCACTTTCCTTCCAAAGAACCTTCATCTTCGAATTTGTGTAGACACTTTCTGCTTCTCACATCCCAAATGAAAACTTCGCCCTCCTCTGTTTGCAGAATCAAGTATATTAGAGGAAACACACATACACATCACTTGTTGGTCTATTTTGTTAAAATAAATTTAATTACATGGCAACTAGAAGGTCATTTATGCATCAAATATAGGGTATTAAAAAAAAACCCAAATAATTAAAGGCATACTAAAATAATTAATTCCATTCTTTATTGATTGATCACTTGGTTGTATTTTTAAAAGAGATACTGACATAAATTTTAAAAATTACTTTTCTAAAATGGTAAGTCACTTCTAAGAACTTATGCAATTTAAATGGAACTATGATTAGAGCTGCTGGAATACTCACTTGAATAGCTGTATATTTTACTGCTGTCTGGGGTGAAAGCAGAGGCAGTGCACCTTCCATTCACCTTCATAGTGCTGATCAGTTCTTTTGTCTGTAGGATGAAGAACAATGCTGACAGAGAATCTACCAAAAATCTACAAAAATATTGTTTCCTGTCCCACAGGAATCTTAAGTTAGCTACCCTGACATGCAGAGAACAGCACCAACATTTTTAGTGCCTGCAAAGCAGAGCACAAGCTCCTGAGTCCAACTGCAGCTGGATCAACAAACACTTGTCTTCTCCCTCATTGAAGGATCTGAGTTATACAAAACTGAACTTCCTCCTTTAAAAGTATTTTTCCCTGTAAAAGTTTAAAACAAATCCACCTTCCATCATACAGCATTTTAAAATTCAGCTGAAAGACTGTTTCATGAACAGGGAACAGCAGCATGCATTAGCATGACTCCCAAAAAAGCAGTCCTGTATTTCTTCCACCCCGAGGTGCCTGTTCCCAAGCTGTTCCCATTCCTTTTGCCAGCACAGTGCTTGTGCAAGCAGCTGAAATGCAGCACTGACATGCAACTTCTTCCAGCTGAAAACCCCATCAAACTGCCCTGATCTCCACCAGCCCCAGGGAGCTGCAGAACAAAGCCTCAGAGGGTCCAAAGTAATTCCCTAAAGCTGCAGTGGATTGATTCAGCAGCGCATTTTTGAGGGCTGTCACAGTATGTGTCATACCTTGGCTTCAGCTGAAAGTTAGATTGCCTTGCAGATGAGATAAAAAGGAAAATGCAGGAAGGAAATGAAGCTAGATGAACCATGCAGAGAAAGTACCTTCATGGACAGCAAGTGAAGGTAACCTGAAGTTCCAATTAGCAGCATAAATGATCCATCTGGAGAGAGTTCAAAGTTTCTGAGAAATTTTTCCTCCACACCTTTAAAAAGATATTTGAAACTTTAGATTGGTTTTCTTTTACTTTTTATTCTTTGGCTTCAACATTCAGAGGTAGAATGAATATGACTAAGACCTGACTCCGCTTCAGCTTTCAATTTCTGCTGTGTTGTCACAGTGAAGCTGAACTTAACTTTGCTCATATGTGATAATTAATATACCAGACAAATTAGCACTAAAAGTACTTTATTTCCTTGAAGGCAAGTTAAAAATACAACCTCCAACAACCCACTGTGCTTCCTTTTAAAGCAAATTCATGTGCCATCTCTATTTGGGACAGCTTCAACTATGCCCAGACACTCAGAGCTGCAAAACATACCTCGTACTTTTGGAATAGGGATGATATTCCCAGCCATCATGTCATAGACAAAGAACATGCTGTGGTGAGTACCAGTGGCTATAACTTGTTCTCCATCCACACTGAAACGAGCCTTATAAATTGGAAAACTCTCTAAATAGATGCTCTGTATTTTTGAGTTCCTTATACCATCCACCTTCAAAACAAAAAAACAGGGTTGTCAGATTGAGGAATATATCAAATACTTTTACAGAGAAAAACCATATCAACCTCTGAGCTGAGACTTAGGTAATAAGAAGTACACCACTGTGAAGCCTTAAACTCTTTCTCTCCTACAAATGATCTGGTTCTTATCTTCTCACCTCATATAACACTCCCTGCCTTCTGCTTCACACCTGTTGCCCTTCCTCATCTTGCCCATGCTTTGTTCAAATAATCACTTCTATTGTGCTTTTTCTAAATGGAAACATCTGCTTTGATTTGGATTTTCTTGCAGCTCTGTGGGAATATCACATTCCACTTGTGTCTGACCATTTCAGTGACACTGGCCCATGCTAAAAGTTCCTAAATAAAAGTAGGATCTTTAGTTTTCAGAGGAACAAGGCAGTGTCTCAAGATCAACACCTTCTTCCTGCAGCATTGCCTCTCCATCCACAACACGATTTCACAGCAATTTTACAGTCTCAAAGCAAAGTGGGCTGCTGCCCCCACTACAGGCTCTCCAAACAACTTAGGAACAAAAAACCTCGTTAGTCCTTGTCACTGCAAACCTTCAAACCAAATGTCTTTAAATACAGATCTTCAGCTATTATCTCTGAGACAAAAAGTTTGCCAGTACTCTGCATGTGCTTGGTTTGAAGTCACAAGTGGAAATTCCTTCCAAGATGCCTTTAACCAAAGGAACTTCCATTGTAACCATTACATCCAGTGTGCAGAGGAAGAGAGAAAAAAAGCCTACCACTCCAGGGTATTTCATGCACACTCAAAAAAAAAGGTTCAATGTTAGTGACCATTAGCAGAGTACAAACTGAAATTCTTCACCTGGAAGAGGGACACAGAGCGATCATGCCCAGCTGTCATCACCACTTGAGCTGAAGGATGAAACTGCACTGTCACCAGTTTTCCATTGGCAAAACGTTCCTGGTTTGCAGGAGGGCAGGTGCTCATCTACAACACATATCAGACAGTAAAAAACAAACCCCAACAATCACTTATGCTGAATAAAAAGCCAATTACTCTTTACGCTACAAGACCTCAAGCCTTGTGATGAAGTTTTGGGCAGCATGAGGTGAGCAGAGCACACACAGCCCATTCAGGGAGCTGCTCCAATGCAAACACAGGCTGAACTCACCAGGCTTTCTACTGGTTTTACAAATGAGTATAAAACCAGCTACATTCTGAGTCATCTGAGACAGCTATAGGAGACAGTATGAGAAATACTCATTTAAGGCTGTCTTCTTAAAGGTCATTTCAGCAGCTTCAAAGCTGTGGGAGAATTCCATCCTCCCTCTGCAGAAATTAAAATCCTACTACAAGATGCTATTTAGAGTGCAGAAAATTCTTATGTCAAACAATCCCCCTCAGTTTATTGCTTCATGCTTTCACGTGAACTGTTCAATTTGCTTATCCTCTAGAGTTTCTAGTTGCAGAAACAAATTCACAGAATTGCTAATTTCATACACAAGAGTCAGAATATGCACTTAAGTCCAACTAAAGTGGAAAGCTAAGGTTTGTCTTTACCTTCAAAATCCCTCTTGGCAGAGCCTCTGAGTGCGTTACGAAACTGCCAGTCCTGCGTAGCAGATCATCATCTTCATCACTGTCACCTCATTAAACCAAATCACATGGAAACAGCTAATTGCACAAACATCCACAGCAAAATCAACACATTCCTCCCTGAAACTAATTACAGCACACTGAAGGAACAAAGCTGACATATCCAGCATATTATCACACTACTGAAACTGAGAAGATATTAAAAGTAATTATCTTCTAGCAAGCTGAACAGGGAATCACAGAAACACTTATCAGAATAGTATTGGGCATATTTACTATCACTCCAAGTCCCTTTGGATTTCTTCCTGTTTTCTAGATCAGCCCAGGCAGGAACTCCTCCCATGGCTTGCTGAAACCTTACAAGAAAAGGAGAAAGAGGAAAAAAATCAGTTAACTTTTGTGAGACAGTAATATCCTTCTATGAGTTAAGTACATAGAATAAGCACAGTCAGAATTTTGCAGGACTTCTTGCACTTAGAACACAATGTAGGTTTTAAATTTTTTTTAAAAAAATTAAGATTTCACTGTTACTTGCATAACTCACTAGAAGACAAACTAGTTTGGGCACTTTAATACAAGTATTAAACAAGTTAGTCTAGACAATACTAATGCATATTTTATTTACTATTTTTAGTATTGTGATTTTAAAACACTGTAAATATTGCACAAAGCACTGGCTTTAAAGAGGCCACACGATCACATTGGATAAAGAGGAAAGTGACTTTAAATGTCACATAAATGTATTTTAGCTCACAAAATTTTTGCATTGGAAGGGAGAACAATCCTCTGGAGATCATCCAGTCAAACCCCCCCAGACCAAGGCAGGTGGAGCAGGCGACAAAGGAACATGTCTAGGTGTGTTTGGAATGTCTCCAGAGGGAGACTCCACAACCTCCCTGGGCAGCTATTCCCGTGGCATGTCACCCTCCATGGAAAGAAATTCTTCCTCATGTTGAGACAGACCTTTTTATGTTTTAGTTTTTGTGCTTATAGTTTATGGTCACTGCCCCCTTGTCCTGGTCTGGGCGCCACTGAAAAGAGTCTGGCACCATCCTTCTGGCACCCACCTTGGTGATCAATGATCTCAGTATAGTCAGCCACAAAAAGATTAGCAAAACTCACTGTTCCTCAAGTCTCTTCTTTAGTTTTTTCTTAGTAAGCGTTGTCTCAGCATCACTTTTCATGAAATCTTTCCTGTACTTATGGGTCATGTCAACACTAGAGGGGAAAAACAGACAGAACACAAAGATCAAACCAAGGCTACTTACAATGACTCCCAAGTGTGATACCTTAATTCCCATCACCTAACCTGAACTTACCTTTCCTCGGCTTCATCATCCTCATCCACCCAGGCTGGCTTTTTGGGCAGTAAGTCACCCTTTGCTTCATTTTCCCCCTCCGAATCGCTTGACTCGTCCTGGAGGCCTTTCCCCTCTGCAGCAGTAACCTGAAAACAACCGAAGGGGCCGGGTGACCGGGGACAGGGTTCGGAACCCGAGGAGCGAGCGGCCGAGACCGCAGTGAGCACCGACCCCCGCCCGAGGCCGCCGCTGCCGGGTCGGGCAGGGCCTGGCTGTGCCATACCCGACAGGGCC